TTTTACTTAGGTGGGTACAGGATAGTTAACAGTCAACAATTAACATGATAACAATAACAATGAAGGAATTTGTGGTAATCTGTCCTGGCGCCCAGGGCATTTGGTTGTGCCCTGAGTAGTCCTGAAAAAAGGGAAGTTACAAGTTACCCTGGCATTGCAAGGATATGTTATCATAGATGCAAAAAGACAATCAACTCAGTCAAGATAAAGATTGACCTTGTCAGGGAAGATACCAGCCTAGGAGGTGACTGCCCACCATAACTGCTTCAGTTAAAGTATAATTTCAGACCATCCTTTGTGGTTACTTCAGGTCTCTGAGTTTGCAAGACTGCTGTACAGACCTTCCCTGAGCTAATCAGGTTAGCATGTGGCCCCTTTCGTTCACATTGGTAAAATTATATAGCACCAACATAGCCTGCCCTTAGGGCAGTGGTTCTCAACCTTGGCTGCACATTAGAATCACCTGGGAATCTTTTTAAAATCCTGATTTCTGGGCCTCATCATCAGAAATTCTGTTTCATTGTTACTAATGTTGTGGCCCCACCCCATAACAAAGAAACAGAATTTCCGGAGGATGAGGCCCAGAAATCAGGATTTTAAATCTTCCACAAAATACCACGTGCGGGCGCGCACATACAGTGCGATTGAAACTTCGTGGCCACACTCAAGGGGCCAAATTGCCACATGTGGCTCTCGAGCTGCAGTTTGCCAACCACTGCCTTAGGGGAAACAGGTGATTATGTAAAACATCTGCTACACCACACCTTCCTTTTCAAAAAAGACATCAATTATTTTTCTTTTTTGGATCTCATCTAGTGCAAAATGATCCCAGAGCCTTTGTCCATGTTGCCCCCGCCCCCAGCCTTGGAATGCCTTCTCTTCCCAAGGCCAAACCCCTGTCCTCACCAGGTCCTGAAATATCTTTTCTTTCATGACACTTTCCCTGACCCACAGGATTAAAACAGGATTCCTGCTACACATTATCTTTGTCCTTCAGAGTACCCTGCACATTGTGATTAAACTAGTAATTGCACAATTATCCGTAACGTCTCTTTCACCAACTAGAACCTAAGTTTTACTAGTATCTGGGCAGGAACCATTTTAATTTCCTTACGTGTGTCCTCACCATGTAACATCTGCCTTGAACTAGGTAGGTACTCAATAAAATAATATATTATTGAATATTATAAATGAATAAGTTTTACTCCCAAGAGAATACATCTCAGATCTTTTCTAAAGAGAAGAAGAGCCCTGGCCGGTTTGGCTCAGTCAATAGAGCTTCAGCCTGCAGACTGAAGGGTCCTGGGTTTGATTTCAGTTAGGAACAGGTGCCCAAGTTGGGGGCTCAATCCCCAGTAGGGGGCATTGGGGAGGCAGCAGATTGATGATTCTCTGTCATCATTGATGTTTCTATCTCTCTCTCCCTCTCCCTTCCTCTCTGAAATCAATAAAAACATATTTAAAAAAAGAGAAGAAGAAGAGAGGTTGGATAGTAATTCTAAGTGTATCACCTTTAAAATTATATCTGAGGCTAGGCTCACTAAGATTTATGTCAGGAATGACAAATAACATGGCACTGGGCTCATCCTCTCCCAATGAAAGAATTTTTAGGGGTGAAATAGGCAGGTTTAGGAAATTTTAGGAATTAAGGGGTCCATGGAAAAAGCACAGGGCTATAGAGCTGCAACGGGTACATTTCCATAAGACAAGGGAGCTGAGAGTAGCAAAAGGTACACATTTACAGAAAGAAGGGAAGGAAGCTCCTCATTCGAAGAGGGAGGAAGAAAAGCCCAGAGGGAATAGGAGAACAGTAAGGGAGAAGGAGGGAACCTCACTTACCTGAGGCTTGAGCTCAGGAGTTGCTATAGTGACCAAATCAAAGGGGAATAGTGACCAATCAGAGGGGTTATCAAGGCAGGAAAACTGGAGCCTTAAGAAGGGGGGGACTCAGTGGGACTCTTCCCCCCTCCCCACGTGGGAGTCTGTGCTTGTTTCTCAATAATTTCCACCTTTTGCTATACCTCCTTTCATTCGTGGTTTCATTCTTTGACTCCATTGGACAAAGAACCCAGGAACCATCCTGCCCAGAGGAACACCACGTTCCAGTCCCATTTTCCCGTATCACCACGTACATGAAGACATCTCTACAGATCCTGGAATTATCTCCCTGTCTGCACTCGCTCTTCTCTACCCAATACACTAATTGTTTGTGTAGGAGAGGAAAATATTTTTCACTCTCTGAGTTACTGGCTGAGGCCTTGTAGTAAAAACAGATAAAAGGGAACAGATGTTTATTAACAAGTGTATCTCAGGTATACCTAGGAGATACCCAGAGAAACTGAGTAATTCCCTGAGATGGCGCAAGTTACTTAAATATCACTTTCAACTAAAGAGAAAGGAAAGAAAGGGGGGGCGCATTATGAGGGATTACCAGGGAAGCACAGTAAAGGAGGGCAAGGTTTGTCCTGCAGTAGTTATGCCTTCTCCATCTTCTCCATTGATGAGATTCTGTTGTGGTTTAGAGTCATTCTTCTTTCCCTAGTACAAAGAGGGAGACACATTGACAGAGATTTTCTTTATGAATGTCCATTCCCCACCCCCAAAGGGGAATGTTCCTACATCCTCTGCTTTGCTTTCAGAGATTCTCCAGTGTCTGCTGTTTCTGAAAAATAATTGGCTCACAGTAATTCTTAGGCCAAAGAGACATATTTTGGGGTGGCATAGTCAGTTATCCTTCATTTGTTTGATCTTATTTTGTTTGACAAACACTTATATAGCACTTACTATATGCCAGGCACTATTCGAATGGCTTCACAAATAGTACACATTTGATCTGCATAAAAGCCCTGTAAAGTTGGTACTATTATTATCCCCTTTCAACAGACTAGAAAAGTGAAGCCCAGAGAGATTGAGGAACTTGTTCAAGGTCACACAGCTAGCAAGCCTACCAATGAGAGTTTGCAGCATAGATGAAGCCGAGTGCCTTCCCTGGCCTGGGTGCTACTGTCTCCTTCAGCCATAAGTCCCACTTGGCTCCAGCTTGATGAATGACCCCACCTTGCAGCAAGATGTACAAGAAGTAGTTGTAGCCAGGAAAGAGCAGCAGAGAGCCTGAGGTGGACAAGCCCTCCCTAAGGTGGACACCCCAGCTGCTGAGGACAGTGTTGGGAGGGCCAGGGTGTTTCTCTCACCAGGAATAGCAAAGTTAATCACTCGATTCAAAGATCAGAATCTGGAGTTTGAGGGCTAGGTCAGTCCATCCCACTAACTTGGATTTTAAACAGCCCAGGATCTAAGGCAAGAAGGAAATAATGCATGAAATTCGATGAAAAAATACAAAAACCAACACCAAAGCTAGGGACACATGGGGACATACTAGATTGTGAGATCCTTAAGAGCAGGAAGTGACACGATTCTATGGAATGCCCCGCAATAAACATACAAACAGAGAAATGCTCGCATTATCCTTGAAGACCTGTCTTCAATCACTCTCCATTCCCTTGAGACTGCCATGCTCCTTAATCCAGGGACACAGCAGAGTGTAGAAAGTTGAGTTTATCTTTTCCACCCCTAGATTTCTATGACCCTATAGCAACCTGCAGTTCATACCCCTGGCTTAGTTTTTATGGAAGTTTAATTTTTTTTTTTAATATCTTCTTTTTCATGCCATGCTTTGACATTTTTTCCTGGCATTAAATTTCAGATTTTCAGCCTGCAGTTCATAGCCCTGGCTTAGTTTTTATGGAAGTTTAATTTTTTTAATATCTTCTTTTTCATGCCATGATTTGACATTTTTTCCTGGCATTAAATTTCAGATTTTCAAAAATAGAGAAATGATCCAGAGTTCCATCAGTATCAACCAATCAGTGTGTTTGCCTCTAGAAAGAGCAGTGTTCAAATGCTGTGCTACAGAATAATGGACATCAGGTCATTGGTTTGCAGCATGTATTATGTTTCTACAAGTAGTTGGCAACATGAGGTACATTTACGCCAAGATGAGTCTACCCAATTAAAAAATA